GCCTCAAATTGAGGGTTGCTGTGTGTGTTGGTAGCATTTTTATTTATTTATTTTAGCTAAAAGAATTTAGAGATTTCTAACAAGGCCAAGAAAAAATGTGTTGTTTTGTCCATTTTAAAAAATTCTTGAAACCTTTCTCTGAACAGTGCTAGCCTCCCATGCATTGGAGCAGGGAACTGAATTTGGCAGGGATGTGCCTCTGGCCATGAAAAGCCACATAAATGTGGCCAAATTGTTAAGTCTGAAAAACTGTAGTTGCACTGGCTATAAAGACCTCTTAAATTTCAAAAGCTAAAATCTCTGATTCCTTCCCCAGTGAGCATGCGAGAGCAGGGGTGGGCAATAATTTTTTTTGGGGGCCACTCCAAAAATTGGTAAGTGATCAAGGGCCGCACTCTTCCATGATATTAATGGAGGAGATGTGGGGTCTAAGATGGAGGCTGGGCGCAGACGGGAGCTTGGGGTAAGGGACTGGGCTGCAGGAGAGGTTGTGGGATCTGGGAGGGAGTTTGGGTGAATAGAGTGCAGGGTCTGGGAGGGAGTATGGGAGCAGGAGAGGATTCTGGCCTGTGGGAGGGATGTAGAAGGGGGGTATAGAGTCTGGGAGGAAGTTATGACCTGGGGCAGAGGCTGCAGAGGGTGATCCGGGAGAGGGAGTTGGGGTGCGGGAGGGGCTAGGATGCCAGAGGCAGGCTTTGGCTGGGAGGGGCTTACCTAAGTGTCTCCCAGCCAGTCGCCCTGCAGCTGCAGCCCCAGACCGCCGGAAAATGCAGCCTGCTCCCTCCACGTGGCTCTCAGCTCCAGGAGCGGGAAGAGGCTTGGGCTGCCCCCATGCCCCGGGCAATCTCTCAGAACCTATATTGACTGGTTGTTTCCAGCCAATAGGAACGGAGAGATTGGCTGGGGTCAGTTCCTGTTGGCCAGTTGTTTCCAGCCAATAGGAGCTGAGGATGGGTTGGGAGCCAGGGGAGATCACACGAAGATTCCCCCTCCCTCCAGAGCAGAGAGGTACATGGAGCAGCCCTGCGCTTAAAAAAGCAACTGCTGAATGCATGAGGGTCCCAGCAGGTGGGTCTGTGGGCCAGATCCTGTGGTTTGGCGGACCAGATCCGGCCCAAGAGGTATCTTGCCCACCTCTGTGCTATAGCCTCTCTCAGCTCCTGTATGCCACTTCACTGCACATGCACCATCCCCATGAGCATGCGCCAGTTCAAGAGTACAAGAGTGAACAAGAACTGGACATACTGAAATAGAGATCAGGGAACCCATCTCTCCCGGTCTGCTCGCCAACCCCCCCCCCCCCCCCCAGAGCCTCCCACCCCCAGTGGCCCCAGCAATTATCCCCTCCCCCTTCCTCCCAGCTCTTCCTGCCTGCCACACTCAGCTGTTTTGCTGTGAGCAGGACTGACTTTAATGCAGAGGAGACAAAATCCATACAGGGACGAGGGAAAGGAGTAGATTGGGATAAGAAGACAGACTAGAGGGTGGGAGAGAAGGGGAGAAACTGAGATGGGTCAAAGAAATGAGGATTTGGAAGGGGAAAGGAGGCTGGAATTTGGAGCTGGTGACACAAGTGAGAGGGATGAGCAAGTTGGCTTTTGTGAGGAAAGATTCACGTGACTGGATGAGATTGGGGCTAGGAACCAGTGTGGGGGCCACTAAGGGCAGAGGGGAGGGGAAAGACAGATCTGACAAAGAGCTTAGTGAGGAGCCAGAACTGGGCCAGGAGACAGGGATAAGCAGCCAGGGAGATAGCATACTGAGGTAAGGAGCGAAACACACTATGAAACGTACAGTTCGCAGTAACAGGGCCACATGGACACCTAGTGCATGTCACACTTCTGTGCTGCAGGTTCATCCCGACCTACAGGGTACTATTTCATCATTTAGATAACCTCTATGATTGCTGTGCAGCCTTGTCCTTATGCACTGTAATAAAAGACTGTAGCATATGATCACATTTTCCTATAAGACTCCTGCTTCATTCTGTGCACAGAATGGACCTGTGCTAGGGATGAATCTTTGTTGTGAGTAAAGGAGGCTGTTTGTTAGGACTCCGACTCATATATTGCAGAAGTTGACAGACATGTAACGAACGTGGTAGGAAGCAAATAGGAAAGCTCACGGTTAAGACAAATGAACAGTGCCCTGGAGAGATGGATTCTATCCCTACCTTCACCACAGAATTCCTAAGTCATGCTGGGTTGCTGCTTGAACCCAAACATTTCACAGGTGGTCACTAACCGTGTGTTCCTCATTTTCTGAAGTCCCGACTTGACCCTGGGGTCTGATCAGTTCAGAAGTGCAATAAAAGCTGTGCTTGAATATATAATACAAAATACCCTGAAAAGTAAGGTCTTAGGCATCTCAAATTGGATATCCAAAATTACTAGATACTTTTGACTTTAATCTGTACCTCAGTTTCCCATTTGCACAACACCCACAACGCCCCATGGGGTGGGCAGGCCCATTGACAGAGGAGGCAAAGGCGGCAGCTGCCCCAAGGCCTAGCAATTTAAATTGGCCCAGGGCTCCTGGCCACTGCTGCAGTGGAAACTGCAGTGACCAGACCCCTGGGCCCATTAAATCAATTGTGGACTTTTGAACAGCATGCACCACGTGGTGCTGAAGGACTGGATGGGGAAGGTAAGCCTCCTGCCCTGCCCCTTCAGCCCAAGACCTTACCCCTTCCACCGGCCCAAAGTCAATCCTCCCTCCACCTTGCCCTGGGCCCAGCAAACTCTGGGAGGTGGATGAAGATAGATTAATATTTGTGAAACACTCATATGCTACAGTGCTTGAGTGCCATAGGAAAGCTCTCAAGGAAATTAACGATTCTGTATTCAGAGAAAGGTTTGAACAGTGTGTAGTAACTAAAGTTTGGGGCCACATATGTAATCAAGAAAATAAAATTTAAAACACTGAATAATTGCTCATTCAGTGCATACCAATCATCCTATACACTGAACGAGATGGGACAAATTAAGGTTGCCTGGGTAAATTTAATTCTGTCATTTCCTTACTTCTGAGGGCTTGACTTTGCAACTTCAATGTTCTTTTCACATAGCTGTTTGTATGTAATTGAATAGGGCACCAGAAACATACTCAACAAGTGATAGAAAATGTAGCCTCAGAGCTTAAGATCCCACAATTTATTACCTAGATCCTATGAACATGTTATTTTCATGTTTAGAATATGCGTCTAAACACTGGATAATGGCTTGCAGAATTAAGCAACTCACCAGTACATGATAATTACAAACACCAGGAAGGGAGGGAGGAGAAAGGGAGGATGGTCAAACAGTGCTGTTGCTTTGGTTAGAAATATGCACATCACAAAGGTTTCAAGGTGTTGTTTGAGTGGGGGAGAGGGAGGAGGAAATGTTTGTTGGTTTTATTTTCCCTTTTTAAACTGGCAGAGATTCTCTCTGACTTTACACAGGAGAATAAAAAGGTCTTCTCAAGTGGGATAGAATTTGTGAGTAAACCATGAGCAGAGTAGCTAAGAAAGGTTGTGCAGCTTAAAAATGCATCTTTTAAAGTGTACGTGATTTTCCCTTTGCATGTACCCAACCTACCCAAAGAAGATTAGTTTTCATAATGGCTGGCCATCAAATGTCACATTTATGTTAAAAATATTAAGAAAAATGTATTTAATTGTTATTTTGAGTATTGTATGCAGCCGCTATGTAATACTTGTTGCCTAGCAACATTTCTCAATCCTTGCAGGGGCAGCGTTCATTTCAGAGGTAGTCTCAAAGAGTTTAACCACAGAAAAGCACACGTTTAAGCAATCAAAAGGATGAAATCTTCATTATTCTCACTGCATCCAGGAAGAGAGTTCATATTCAATGTACTAATGCAGCATATCACAAATACATTCAGCAAAAACTATTCCCAAAACAATCAAGTCATTATTGTACTTTCCTCAAATTATTCAGATAATCTTAACAAAAAATCAGCATAATGGAAACAAGTACAGTAGACTTCCGATAATCCGGAACCTATGGGACTTAAGTGGTGCCGGATTATCAGATATGCCGGACTATCAGGTGGTACTATAAGATGGTTATATATATACACTGTATACATTATTTACTGTATATAAAGTGTTCTTAACCCTTTTTATTGTACATACTGTATACAGTATACTATCATGTTTTAGTTTTTTAAAGCCTTTTTTACCCTTTTTGCTCAGTTCAGCTGCTGCCGCTGTTACCTTGTGACTCATTTTTTGCCGAAGCTCACTCACTAGGCTCTTGCCATTTCGATGAGGAATGCCGGACTATTGGATGCCAGACTATTGGAATTTTACTGTATGTCTTACAGGGCACATATGGCAGATAACAGTTCAGACATGTTAGAATATAAAAAATCATTACTGTCAATTAGTATTGGCATTCCATTTACAGTCAATGATTCCTGTTCTTGTTGAAGTCCTGTCACTAGCTTCTGCAGAAAAAAATTAACTTGTCCATGAGGATACATAGTCTTTATTGTGGAGGATCCCTCACAGTGGGTATGCCTACACTGCAGACAGACAACTGCAACTGGACCATACCAGTTGACTTGGGTTCATGGGGCTTGAACTAAAGTTGTTTAATTGCAGTATAGATGTTGGGGCTCAGGTGCAGCCTGAGTTCTGGGACCCTCCCACCTTGTGGGGACCTAGGACCTGGACTCCAACCCAATCCCACACAATTAAACAGCCCAAGCCCCACAAACCTAAGTCAGCTGGCCCAGGCCAGCCATGGGTTTTAACTGCCACAGACATTCAGCTGGAACAAGACTATTTGCAGCACTCTCTGGTTTATGATTTACAATAAAAACTAGCTTGAACAAGATAAAAATACTTAGAAGTCAAAGCACTTTACAACTGATTATGCTTTGGTCATAGGATACTCGCTTGGGTTACCCATCTCTGAAATATTTAATCAGATGCCCACAGAAAAGAACAAATCATAAATGTTTGCAATTAAGGGACTATATATAGACCATACCCTCCTTTTCTGTGATCTTGATTATGCTTGTAGATTTTATATGGCAGTGATCTTTCTCCCAGATTTTCCAAGTTTCTCACAACTGCTCCTTTCTCCATCAGAGTTTCTATCGTACGCTTCAGGGCAGCGGCCATCTCAGGCTTCCAAAAAAATTAAAAAAAGAAACATTCAGACATTCAAATTTGGTTCTAAGTTAATTAGAATCAATTAATGTAGTTACCTGATTAAACCGTTGGAGGAGGGAACTCTTCAATACAACAAGCCAATGAGGAACAAACTGGCATCAATTAAAAAACAGAATTTTGGAAACTGCAGCCCTGAAGCAAAGCTACCATTGAGTTCAATGACACAAAATCAGGCTCTACCAATGGAAAACAAACAAAATTGTCAATAAGCCTGATTCTCCTCTGCTCTGTACCTTGTATAGGCATTTATACCAGTCCACTCTTACCTGCAATCGTTATGCATGCTATTCAAACTAGTTTAAATAAATACAGGAGGGTTAGGGAAAATAGTGGTTTTAAGGCTCTAATCAGATTCCGATGGACCATTAACACGATAAATAAATCAGTGAATTAACAACAATTTCTCAGCCCTATAAAATGGCATAATTTATGGTATTATTCAACATAATAACCAAATCAATTTAAAAGCGTAACAGCAAGCTTTGGCTGATCATAGATACCACTGATTAGCAAGAGACCTATTTTACAAGTCCATTTCAGTTATGTATGTGTAAAAGGAACATGAACTTTTCTTTAGATTCATGGGGAAACATTTCATTGACTTCATAAATAAAGCCAAACTTTTGCTCAGATTCCAAACATTTATAAAATAAGGAATTAAAAAGGACGATGTATAAATTAAATCTCCTCCCAACGAGCGATGGTAATTATCTGAGTAATGCCTAGACTGAGTTTCCTTCTTAGAGCATATCAAGGCTGGTTTGTAGTTTTTAGACCACTTCAACACTCACACTTCACCATTATTTTATTTTATCTTAACTTATAGCAGAGCTGAAATAAATGTTTCAGTTGAGTTTCTTCAGGATTGTTGGAACTCAGTAAACACCAGGGAACACCAAATTCATCTTACTTCTGACACAGTAGGGGTACGTCTAGACTACATAGCTCCATCAACAGAGCCATGTAAACTAGTTTACCCGACGTAGTCAATGAAGCGGGGATTTAAATAATCCCCACTTCACTAAAATAAAAATGGCCGCCGCGCTGTGCTGACGATCAGCTAATCCGGCACAGCGCAGCAGTCTAGACGCGGCACAGTCGACAAGGGAAGCCTTTGTTGACCGTTCCGGTATGCCTCGTGAAACGGTATGCTTCCCTTATTTAAATCCCCGCTTCATTGACTATGCCGGGTAAACTAGTTTACATGGCTCCGTCGACGTAGTCATGTAGTCTAGACGTACTCTAAGTGATGTTGACGGGCAACCCCGAGAACCCTCATGTTGTTAATACTAAGTTTCTGGATGCTGGTGTGAAGTAAAAGTACTTTGGGGAAACAACCCCTGTATGGAGAAGGGAAAACAAGAGACTGTAAGTAGCTATTCCATCCAAAAGAATTATAAAAAATATGCCATATTTAGATACTTATATAACATCTCACATCAAAATATATTCCTCTGCTCATCTGCTTGATATGATGGCTATAGCTGGAAACAAGAAAGCTAGCAAAATATAGCTAGCAACATTTTAAAATAGTTAGCATTTAAGTAAACATACCACCATTAAGTCTCAATCCCTCTCAGCCTGAAATGACCTTGTGCAATTCCCCACTTATTTGTAAAATAAGTTAATATTAGTTGCCTCCCTCTAAGGTAGCAATCAGACATCTTGATTAATAACAGCTGTTACTAGAATTCATGGTCTCCTGTCTTGCAGCTTGCTATACACTACCCTAGGCTATAGGATCTCTTGGAATGGAGTGTTTTCCATATGCAAGGAAAATTCTCCACCATCTATCACTAGCCATTTTGTAACTCCATTTTACATTACTACTATGGCATGAAGCAGCCTTAGTGAATCAGAGAATCTGGCCCAAACTACAGATGTGAATGACTATAAGCAAATGCTTATCAGATAGTCAACACACTAGTTGACTAGTCGCTTCCCCACCCTTGCTGTCTCTATCAGAAAAAGGCAGCAAAAGGGTGGGGGGGAGGGAGAAAGAGGAAGGGTGCTTCAAAGCAACAGTGCTACATGGAACTCGGGGTCAGCTGGGGACTGCTACCACTTTGAAATGCCGCAGGGAGCACAGGGCCAGCGGGGGAGCGCTTGAGTCCCCCGCTGGCCCCGTGCTCCCCACAGCACTTTCCCGTTTGAAGTACAGCAACAGTCCTGGGGCTGTTGCTACACTTCAAAGGCACAGGCACCCTTATCCACTAATTGAATAGTCAATGCAAATTGCATCAATTATTTGATTAGCCAATTAATCTAAATTTAACATCCCTAGCCAAACTCTATACAAGTTCTTATACTCCATCACTGTAGTATCTGAGCACCCAAGTTCATCTGAATCAGGATGCCATTTAAAATTATTATAAAGCAGCCCTGCATAGGTAGATTACATAGTTCCCTCTTATAATCTTAAATCATAGCAGTATTCTCACCAGAGTCAATGGGAACTTCTTACAGGAATTAAGACTGCAAAAATCTGACCCAAAGTTTGTAACGGCAATAGTTTTACAGATTGTGTTATGGGCCAATCAGTACTATACAGAATAACACATGATACAAGTTTATAGATTCATGATGTGATGCGGGGGGGGGGGGGGGGGGAGGGGAGGTGAAAAAAAGCTATTTCTTTTGTGTTAACAGAAACAAAACTACTGATGTGTACACGTTTTTACATATTTGAAGTCAGATAGCAATGGAAACTCAAGATATTACTATCCTTCTTAGCAATGGAAATAAACAAGAAGCAGTTTCAGAAAAGTGAAGAAAAAAAACCCTGCCTCAGATCACAATTTTTACACTGCAGGACACCTGTAATGCTTCCAATGCCAGACTGAAGAATATACTTCAAAAGCTGCAAACTCTACATGAAAAGCTGAAAATACATTCTTAAATAGCAGACACTAACATTCCAACTTTCCTCCCATTCAATGCTGCTTGGTTGCAGAAGATTATCACAGAAAATATCTGTCATGTCAATGAATAAAAGTAGTGTTAAATTTATGGTTGTAACTTGTTTATATGAAACGCCACACCCTTAGACAAAACTCCAATACACAGAGACCTGAAGTGATCATTTTAGACAAATAGCCACATGCCCAGCTGCAATGTTGTAAATATTTTTAAAATCCCTTAAGCTATGGGATAAATGTATTCCTCAGCTTCCCTCACTTTTTCAACATGTGTATTCTTTTTAGCTCTTTTATAGGTGCCATTAGCACCTTACTGACTGGTAGCATCACAGGCTTGCCAATGGAATTTCAAGAAAAAAGTTCCTTACATTACCAAAATGAACCCACAGTTTTCTACATTAGGATTAATTTGTGTGTTTTGTAATCTCTCTTCTTGAGGGAAGGGAGCTTTGGAAATGTAAGCTAATTGTTGGCTTTGAAAGGCTGCAACTAATTTTCCCCTTAATATTATGGGTTTTCATGGTTATCCCAACTCCATCACCCAAACTGGACAGGGCTAGCTGGCCTTTTGGAACCCAGACACAAACAGACACAGGTCCTTTGATTTTCTTCATAGGACCCAGCCAGTTCTGAATACAGAGAATAGCATTTCCCAGGAATCAATCACTGCAGCTTCCATATTTTCCGGCGTATAAG